TGTGGTCAGATTCTCAGATCTCATTGAGTTGGATCAAATCAGATCCTAACAGATGGTAGACCTTTATACACAATAGAGTTGTGAAAATACAGCAACTGTCTGACAGAAACTCATGGCGTCACGCGTCTGGCCAGGATCCTCGAGGTATATCCGGGCTCTGACCAGAAGGTGCGAGTTGCCCAAGTTCGGGCTGCGACCGGAGTCTACCTACGACCTATTACGAAGTTGGCTCCGCTTTCCTTCAAATCTGAACCAGGGTTCAGCGGCCGGGGGGAGTATGTTCCAGCCTTAAATATGCAAAATTGTTAGAATTTACTTTTGTTAATTATTGTTAAATTATGTAAATTTTAGAAATGTATATAAACTTGATTTTAGAAAATAAAGTTATTCAAGTATACGTGTTTGAGTCATTAGAGTTGGTGAGACAAGACAATAGCAGTCAGTCAAGTTTGAAGGAGTTATAATTAGCTCGCTGAGTTAAGGAGCGTAGAATTAAAACCAACGTTAAAATAAGAATATAGGCGGTGATTCCTCCTTAGTGCCAGGAGGCCAAAGCCAATTCGATTCATCCCTTATCATGATATTTCGATAGAGAATTGTTTGCATACTGTCATATTTATAATTATGTAAATCTCTGCAGCGTATATATATCTTCTCTCTCTCTTTGTAGGGCGTTCAGCCTTTACAGCTGTTGAAGGGGAGAAATTCTTGAAATTTCGAGATTCAAATATTGTCATATTAAATAAACTCTTCACCCTAAAACTTATTTTTAATAATAAATGTATCAAGATAATTTGTTAGAGTCTTCTCATCGCCTTCTTTGCTACCTCACAACTACAGTGTACACTTGTGTGCGACAAATAGCAATAAGATGTAATGTCTGATGATTTCGTGTGCCAAGAATATCTACTGTACATGTGCGTGTGAAAGGAATACCATCAGAAATCGACTGTGGATCCCCTCACGTGTGCACGTGAAGGGAACACCATCAGAGACTGACTGTGGATCACCTCACATATGCACGTGAAGAGAACACCATCAGAGACTGACTGTGGATCCCCTTACGTGTGCACGTGAAGGGAACACCACCAGAGACTGACTGTGGATTCCCTCACGTGTGCACGTGAAGGGAACACCACCAGAGACTGACTGTGTATCACCTCACATATGCACGTGAAGGGAAGACCATCAGACACTGACGTGGGTTCCCGCACACGTAAGCGTGAAGGGAATACCATCAGAAACTGACTGTGGATCCCCTTGGTGGAGCCGCTACACGCCCCATGGTTCCACATGGACTTAATACATGAAATCAGCCCTAAATATATCCGGGATCATTTACAACACCAGTTTCTGCAACAATGGCACAGGTCAAACAATGCGAGCTAATAAAAGGGCAAGGATTAGGGTCGAATCCACCTAAAATTATAGGTTTCAAGAACTCGATATGTATCTAACGCCCACGGGACAAATTGGCTTTCCGATATATGGAGAAAGTAAATATTTAGAGTTAATAACGGAGGTAGTGTAATGGGTCATTATGGACCTGAAATATTTCTGACAACGAAGGTATTTAGGATTGTGGAATATATACTCGATTCACCAGTGTAAAGTAGGGTTCCACGATATAACGAATTATACGCTAAGTCTGAAAATTAATTTAAAATAAAAAAAGATTGCGCAATAATTCGCGTTCACTGTATCCCATAGATAATTAAAATTCACATTAAAGAAAGTTAATAACACACATACCGCAGCATTTATGTCTATTGATTCCACTTTACAATCTTGTCTCTCAATATCTTGAATTTGAGGGCAATTCGAGTTGATTGCTGACCTTAAATAACATTGGCGTATGAATAAAATTGTGG